TGGTGGAGGTATGGTATGGAGAGAATTTGATTTTGGAGTTATTTTGGTAAAATTGATGAATATGGAGCAATGAGTAACATGTTTTTACCTCCAGATACCAGTGTAAATAGAGAAATGATTCTTGTGTGCTTTCCATCATAATCTATATGTAGTTTTGTTGTTTGGTTGATAAGGAGTGATTCTAAGGGAGAATCAACTCCTAAGATCTCTACCAAATAAGCCTCAAGTTTTGATTTTGGTAACTAAGTGACAACTAGCGGACTAATGTTTTCTAAGTTATGATTGAACTAGTGTTCACATGATAGTGACGGAGATGAAAATAAAGCCATATAAAGCAAGTGCTTACCCATGGAGAAAAGGAGATGAAAACAAGCCCAGAGGCAAAAGTATATGCTAGGGGTTTTCATTTCACCAGTCGAGATGCAATAGAGTGCATGGTCAGGTTAGAATATATAGTCGTACTGTTAAGAGGGGAACTCTAAAGCTAATATGGTTAATTAGTGTCGCTAGATGATGATTAACTTCTATATATTATAGACCTAGCAACGTGGTGAGATGCAAGTGAAAATGTTTTTCAATATCCTCTAAAAATGCTAACTTAAGGCTTTTTGGTTCGGGAAAACAAATTGGAGTTAGCATGCTTACATAGAGGGAGAGAAGAGCTTCTGTGCAATTGATTTCCATTCATTGGAACTCTCCAAAGGAGCATCAGAGTGCTCACGGTGCTCCTCTGGAGAGATGCTCTAGAGAGATTGTTACTTGGCTGAGCTATTGGATAGCCATCGAAAGCTGTCACCGAAGAAAAGGTGGGCATTGCACTGTAACGGCTGGTGCTCACCCAAATGAAAACACTAGAGCTTTGCTCGGTGAACAAAAATGGTCTCATCCCTCTCAACCAATCATACAATGGAACCATTTCATCCATAAAATCAAGGATGAAACAATCCCATCCAAACACATCTTTAAACCAAACACATGTTAAATCATCATTTGAGGAGTTTTTTAAATATTAATTGTTATTTATATCTTTTCACTCTTTTTGATAATTTCTATTTATCTTTGGCATGGGAGAAATTCAGCATCATAGAATAACAACAGTTTTTTATTATTATTATTCAAACTCAAATGAGCCGACTCCATGACAGTTCACCCAAGCGGAGGGTCCATCTTGTCAGTATTCTCAGTCCGTAACCGCAACTCCTGCGCACCCGACCCATTTAGCGCCTTCGTCTTCAGCAGACTCCCCCGCTACTCCCCGTCGCCTCCGCATCTCGGGGACCCCGCGCCTCGCCCGCGCATCCGGCGACCTCCCAGGAGCTGTAGCGGCCGCATGGGGCACTAGTACCGGCGCGGAGCCCATCACTTTCCGCCTACGCCTCCTACGCCGCTTCGGCCGGCAGCCATGGCGAACTACCTCGCGCAGTTCCAGACCATCAAGTCCACCTGCGACCGCATCGTCATCGCCGGTACCAACCTGCCGCCTCCCCTTTAAATTGCAAAAACCTAATTCTAGTCCCAAGGATCTGAACTGCGCTGCCGCGACTCACGCGTCGTTGCTGGGGCGCGATCTGGGTAGCTTGGTCCGCCTGATCTCGCTGCTGTGTGATCTGGAAGGATCCAAACGAGCCTAGATTCGTGCAGGAATGGTGTTACTGTGCCTTGTCTTTGTATTGTTGTGTAGCTGAGTGTCTGCTGGTTGCATCTAAGTGCCTGTAGTGATAGTTTCAGACTTGTTAAGCTTTTCTTTTCTCTGCTTTCACTAGTTTCAGATTGCTCAAGGAATGAACAGTGAGAGGTCTCGATTTGCCATTTTGGTAGCTCAATCTTCTTCCTGCATGACGAGTTACAATGTTACTCTGAAAGTACTCATGTAAAATCACTAGTAATATGCTGTTCCATCACCTCCTTTGCTTCGTGAACAGAGGCTCTGACAGTAGGGAAGAGCATGCACTCGCCGGCCTTACTGCGCTGCAACCTGTGTGCATGGGTAGCTAGCATGGATGGACTAATAACCCTCTAGGGGTAAATTTGGATCACAGTTGAAGTAGACTTATATAGTTTTTTATTTCTTTGCTGTCAATGGAAGTGCTTTCAAGTTTGTATATTTGTGCAAATTCCTTCTCACATGTTGATTTGCCTTTTGTAACAGTTGAAGATGTTAGTGACCTGTGGCTAAATGTCAAGGAAAGTTTTGAACGACGAGTGCCAGTGAAGAAGGCCTGTCTCAACAACAAGGCAAGGAATCCTGTTTTCGTTGACAATCTACCAGCTGAGTTTATACAAACTACTGATTCAAGACTACGGAGTCGATTCCCACAAGAACAATACTTGTTCTCGTTCCGGGAGCCCTATGCGACTGTTGTTCTTGTTACTTGTGAGGTACTCCCCACCCACATTCCCCCCTTGATCCTACTGTATGCTAATCCTTTTGATTCGTTTTCAAGCAACAGTACTCGTGAAATGGACCATGTGGATGACTTTGCCGTTCATTTATTTATTTATATAAAAAAATTATTTATTTATATAAAAAATGTGCAGGATCTTGATGAATTCAAGACCATTCTTAAGCCTCGCCTCAAATTAATTGTTCAAAACGATGAGCGAGAATGGTTCATTGTGTTTGTGTCGAAGGCCCATCCTAGCAATGATCAAGCAACTAAGATGACAAAGAAAGTATATGCTAGGCTGGAGGCTGATTTCAACACCAAAAAGAGAGAAAGGTATTTGTTACGACTTCTTCACAATAGTATTTGTTTGGGAAAAAAAATGCATATGTTAAAATTTTCCAGTTGTTCCAACCCAGCTTTTCATTTGCTGTTATTTTGCAGTTATGTTTTCTTTCATGAGCTTATTTCCACTTTTGAATTCTCTATGGACTCTTGGGTAAAACATTACTACAAACAATGTGAGTAGTGACAGTGTAAAAATTGCTCATTTTCTGATATAGATGCTGCAAGTTTGATCTCCATGGATCAGACAAGGAATTCTGGGACGATTTTGACTCTAAAATGGTGGACTGCATCAGAAACACTTTGGATAGGCGGGTTCAGTTTTATGAAGAGGAAATACGGAGGTTAAGTGAGCAACGGTTCACTCCAATATGGAACTTCTGCAACTTCTTCATTCTTAAGGTACAATAATGCAACCACAGTGATGTTTGCCTGCTGTAACCACATTTTTCAGTGGCACTGTTACTCTATTTGACTTCCTTTCCTTATTAATGTTCAGGAAAGCTTGGCATTCATGTTTGAGTTGAGTAATCTTCATGAAGATTCACTCCGTGAATATGATGAACTTGAACTATGCTATTCAGAATCAGGTTTATATCTAGTTTTATCTGACAATGACCTTGCTTCAGTTTTGAGCTTCATAGTAGATTTGTATAAAAAAATACTTTGTTCATTGGTTCCTATCTACCAGGGTTTGAGTATAAGGCTAGTAATGAAGTTTTCTTTATGAACTTACAGTAACTTCATGTATTCACATTATTGTAGTTGTGCCATGACCATGCATTTCTTACATGCACCTTAAAATTCCTCATTTGTAATTTTTTTTACTCTTGTCATTTGAAAACTATAATTTCATTATCAATGAATACCTCTCTTTCTTGTCTTAGAATTTCTAGTTCAATAAATATCAATTGCAGTTAGGGATGAAAACGGATGGAAACGGTCGGAAATGGTATTACAATATAAAAAACGGAAATGGTCGGTACGGATTTTTCTACATTTTAGTAATTAAAGATTACAAAAAATGGTTGAAAATGGCTGTGAAACCAATTGAAAATGGCAAATTTTTATGTTTGGCTAAATTCGGAAAGGTATCATATCATAGAAAACGGAAACGGTTGGTACGCGATTTTTTCCGTCTGTTTTCATCCCTACTTATTGTCAATTATTTTTTATTGCTTGTTTAGTATAAATATAACCTTGTTCCCATGAATGCAGTGAACTCTCCAGGGAAACACCGTGAATTTGGTGGACTAGATACTGGTGATGACCAGGCTGTGCTGCTAAATCCAGGAGCCAAAGCACTTACCCAAATTGTTCAGGATGACGTATTCAGAGAATTTGAGTTTAGACAATACATATTTGCTTGCCAGGCTAAGGTTTGTACATAGTTGATTTTGCAGTTGTTGCACCTTGCAAGCTAGATATGGTGGAAAATGTCTTACATCTGTGTGTCTGCAAGGATTCTTTCTGTTTTGTTGATAATTTGCTACACTGAAATGGTTTCTGCATTGTTACACTATTACTTACTATTTACTACCTCCGTCCAGAGAAGGATGCAATTCTAGCTCTAGCCTTAGTCAAACTTTCTAAAGTTTGACCAGGGTTATATAAAAGAAAAAACTATAAATATTTACAACACAAAATATGTATACTATGATGATATATTTCATGACGAATCTAATGCCACTTATTTGGTATCATAAATATTAATACCTTTTGTGTATAAACTTGGTCAAACTCAAAATGGTTTGACTCGGTCCTATGCTCGAATTGTATTCTTTCCTGGACGGAGGGAGTAATATATGTTTGCAAGCATCTCAACCTATTGTATTCGTTTTCTTTCAGTTACAAGTGGGCAGTCTTTAGAGCTAGTGGAATAAATATGAAAGAACTGATTTCTGTTTTTAAATGATCTAGTTTCAAGCTTGTCACTTTTCATGTTAATGTCAAAAGGTTTGTCATTATGCTCAGATATATCGTGATATTTGCAAGTACCAATGTTATGCTAGACTTTGTTTTGCTTTATTGTTCATATTGATGATTGTCACACCAACTGAAAACTATCTATCACCTTTAATCCTTTATCATTTATTTTCATTTCACCTTTTGTGCAGTTATTGTTTAAATTGTCTCGCTCAATTGAGGTTGCTGCCAGAGGATATGCTTTTGTTGTTGGCTTTTCCAAGACACTAGCCTTGCACGAAGTATGTAACTACTGTTTTACTGTTTCTTTCCTATATGAGTTATTTATGTTCTGGGAAGACTATTGTCATTGAAGTGCTTGCATATTTAATTCCGATTATGCTTACCCTTTCTCATTCAGAATGCTCTACCATTTTGCTTTCGTGAAGTATGGGTGATAACTGCATGCTTGGGTTTGATAAAGTCTACAAGTTCGCATTATGATGATGGATCTGTTGCTATTGACTCAGAGAAAGAGTTCTATCGTCTTCAGGGTGATCTTTATTCCTCTGTCGTGTTAAGGCAAGTTGTTGTACTTATGTTATGCCACTGTTGATTGTCTGGTTTATTTTTATTCTGAATTCTGCTTTTATGCTTTCCTATCTGTAGTTCAGTAGCCCTAACAATAATTCAAATATTGCTTGGTAGTTCTTTTTTTTTCCTGGAAGGCTAGTCTTTTGCAGTGGTAGTCTCTCCACTTGTGGTGGAGGTCTTGGGTTCAAAACTGCCTCCTTGCAAAATTAAGCAAGGGTAAGGGTGTCTAGAAATCCCCTTTCCCAGACCCACCTAATGTGGGATCTTTTGGCCTCCTTTTAATAGCTTGGGTATTGGGCTTTAAGGAATGAGTTTCTAGTCATTCAGGCTTTAAGGAATGTTCTCAAGATTCCTGTACTTAACATAGCTTGGTAGCTGCTGCACAGGAAATTCAGAATGTAGGAAGTGTAATATTAAATCAAATGTAAGGCCTCCTAGGGCTAATAACCAAGGTCTCTACTTAAAAAGAGTGTTTAATATTTTAATTAAATTAATTAAATCTAAGCTGCCAATTTAGTACTTCAAGATTATTTTATCCATGCAAATTCTCAAATGCTGCATTTCGCACTTGGTACATGCAGCATACCTTGATGTGGTTTGTTTAAACAATAAAATAAAAAGAAATCTGAATTGCCAATTATTTAGTATTTGCCTAGCACCATGATCATTATCTACACAACAGAAGCTATAACTTGGATTCTTTATGTACAATCACAAATTCACAATGAGTCATTTACTTTCTTGGTAATCACTCTTTTTTATTTAGAGCATCTCCAAGAGTTTCCAAAACCTACTCCCAATCTTTTTTTTTGGCAAGATTGGAAAAAACCGCATTACTATTACTTATATGCCATTGTGGCTTACCAATTACATTGGTTAAACCATTATTATATTGGTCCTGAGTGATTACCAAGAAAGTAAATGTACAATCACAAATTCACAATGAGTGATTTACTGTCTTATATTGGCTCCAATTACATTGGTTAAACCATTATTATATTGGTCCTGAGTTACTAATGGATGACTGCATTACTGTTACTTATATACCATTGTGGCTTTTAAATTCAAGATAGAAATTGGCGAATGCCACCCCATTGTATTTTTTTATTGTAGTTTATTAGCTTCTTCATACCCCATAGTTCAAGTTTGCCATCATGATCTTTTACTTATCTTCTGGATTATGTTCCCCGAATTTGTATACAGCAGAAAGTACTGTTTGTTTATATGTCACTCTTCATGAATATTGCAGTTTATGAGGCTTGCTTACTTGATTGGTTATGGGGTTGAGATAGAAAAGAGTCCAGTCAACAGGTACAAGATCAATGCTGCTGCTTTATTTACTGACTTCGCCTTTTCCATCGGCTAGTCAAATTAGATAGATTGCATTCCTGTCCTTTTTAAGTCCTAATGAAGTTTGCAGATGCACATTTTAGTTACTCAATACCATCTTGCATTCAAACTGAGACTTTTAATGTGCTTCCAGTGCATCTTTAAGCATGCTACCATGGCCAAAAGCCAGCTACATGGCCTTCAATCCTCCTGATTCGTCAGCAGAAATAATGGAAAAGGAGAAGGCAAGTTTTTTTTTCCAGCTTTGCTTCATTGCTTCTAATTACATTTTGTGTGGATAGTTCTTACACCAAAAGTCACATTTCCCTCCTGTTCAGCCTAACTGGCCCATATCCTCCCAACCGATAACATTAACATATTGGAAATTGGTCCATCTCTGTAATTTGGTATGCTAAAAAAACGAATCTACAAAAAATGCTGCCAAATGGACTATGAAATATGGAAACTGACTATGCGAAATTGATATTCCATGTTTTCATGTTCCATTACAGCTTCTCTAGCATGTAGGGCCGGGCCCCCTCACTGTCAGCAAAAATTCCTTTTCCCACGTGTGAAATCTAGTGGTACATGACAAATCACAAATGGTAAAAATATAACTAAACATTTGATGGAAAATAGGATAATAGATCTGATAACGTATCCAGGAGACAAGTATTGGTGAGGACCATTGAACGATAACACAAAGCTGTTGCTGACAATTTCTATATTTAATGAAAGATGGGATGCAATGGATTTAATAATTTTAATTTTAATGCTAAACACTGGAATTTTATAGTGTGAGGTCCTATACCGATTCATATTTGCTACTCTGTTCTTTGTTATACAAAATCCATTTCTGCCACACTTATTGCAAAATGTAAAGTTGTGGATCCTTTTCCTTCGCAGATGATTCTTCAAGTCAAATCAAGAGAAAAGCTCTTCAGCATTCACAGGAAACCTCTGCCATTAGAACCTTCTTTACTTCTACGTGAGGCTAATAGGCGCAGGGCTTTTCTCTCTGTTGGAAATCTATCTGAGCTGTATGATTCATCTGATGGGTAAGGACTATCATTTCCCCCTATTGTTATGCATTTATCTTTACAGTATAAGACTTTAGATTACAATTTCTATTTACTTACATACTTGTGTATGTTTGTCTGGGCAGTTCAGGTTTAGATGCAAATTCAAAACTTCCTCCCCACAGATCTGCTTCTAACTCAATGACAAGAACAATGTCAGGTCCAGCAACGTCCGAGACTTCACTGCCAGTTGATCGTCCCATGAGATTGTCAGAAATTCATGTTGCAGCTGAGCATGCACTGAAACAAACGATATCAGATCCTGATTTTATGACATCACTTTCATCACTAGAAGAATTTGAGGTAGTGTATTCATGCTCATCACAATAGATACACATTATGAACTTTAAGTTTCCTAATAATGCTTCTGTGTTTTCCTTGAACTATTGATCTAGAGACAATGACTGGACCACATATTCCAATAAAGATGAACTGTAATGGTAATTTTTTTTGTGTTACAGAAAAGATATATGGAGCTTACTAAAGGTGCAGCTGACAATTACCACCGCTCTTGGTGGAAAAGACATGGAGTTGTTCTTGATGGAGAGATTGCAGCTCTGTTCTTTAAGCATGGAAATTATGACCTGGCTGTGAAATCCTATGAGAAAGTTTGCGCTCTCTATTCTGCAGAAGGCTGGGAAGAGCTGCTGGCAGATGTTCTTCCTGATCTTGCAGAATGCCAGAAGATTCTTAATGATGAAGCTGGTTATTTGGCTTCTTGTGTAAAGTTACTTTCTCTGGACAGTGGCTTGTTTTCATCTAAAGAGCGGCAAGCTTTCCAGTCAGAAGTTGTTCAACTTGCTCACAGTGAAATGAAACATCTTGTGCCCCTTGATGTCTCGTCACTAATTACATTTGCTGGAAATGCCGGTCCACCACTAGAATTATGTGATGGAGATCCTGGTACACTATCTGTAGCAGTTTGGAGTGGCTTCCCAGATGACATCACACTGGAGTCTCTCAGTTTAAGATTGTCAGCTTCTTCTAGTGCAGATGAAGGTATCAAGGTACAAGTACTGCATTACTGATTGGTACCCTTTTCCTCTGTGGCATGTCTTATTCTGTTATTCATGGTTTGAATGCACTAATATGTTTTCAAGTAAAATTCAGTTTCATCCTTGCAGAACAGATTTCATAATTCAAAACTATTATGATAAAGTATATCCAAACCCTAGAGAAATGGCCGTACATAATATATTCTTCAGTCACCTAACGGTTTTAATGTTACCATCCATGCAGGCAATTAAAAGTTCAGATTCTCATGTTCTCGTACCAGGTAGAAATATCATCTCTTTTGACATTCCTCCTCAAAAGCCTGGCTCCTATGTGTTGGGTGCTCTCACTGGACAGATTGGCAAACTGTCATTCAGATCGCATGGATTTTCTCAAGATGGTCCAGTTGAAACTGATGAATTTATTAGTTTTGAGAAGCCAACAAGACCTGTTTTGAAGGTAATTGCTAAAATGAGCTGAAGACCTGAACTGTTTTATAAAATCGTAGTCCCATGTCACTAATCTGCCAATAAGAGATACTAGCTATACTTCCAAAACAAAATCGGGGCATGGTTTCTTGTAATTAGTGAACATGGTTAGTTATATTGTTTAAGATAGCTTTGTTCTCATTGCTTTCGTCTCTCTGTTGTAGGTGAGAAAACCAAGGGCTTTAGTTGATATTACACCTGCTGTGTCCTCTGCGTTGCTTATGAATGAGCTCCAATGGATTGGATTAATCGTTAAGTCAATAGACTATTCATTAAAAGGTGGCATATTGCATATCGATGCTGGTGCGGAACTTAAAATTGAGGAGTCTCAGATGATTGAAATAGAAATTTACGGAAGTGATATGGAGTGTGCTAATTCTGCCAATGGCTCCATCGAAGCTGGAAAGGTTGAAAAGATCCCTATCGAAAATGGAAAGATAAAACTTCCAGATTGGGCTAGTGATGTGACTACTCTTGTTTGGTTTCCTGTTCGTGCTATTGATGATACAATTACCAGAGGAGAATCCCCAGGTCTGTATGTAACAAGTGATAAATTCACTATGTTTGTTATGTTTCAATCAGTTAGTTGACCTTTCTTTGTCTCCTTGTTTCAGTGTCTCCTCAGAAACAGAGCGTTGTAGATGGGATGAGAATGATTGCTCTCAAGCTTGAGTTTGGAGTTTTCCATAATCAAGTGTTTGAAAGGTATCTCTTTATTTTTTAACTCGAATATGCAGAAGAGCTGTGTCATGTCTGTCATTGTATGAGAAAAGATGAGATACCTTTCAATACATTGATCCTTTAGATACATATATTCAACAAGTTTACTATTGTGATTTTCAGGACCATTGCAGTCCATTTTACTAACCCATTCCATGTAAGCACACGTGTCGTGGACAAGTGCAATGATGGAGGTCTACTTCTACAGGTAGAGTTCTCTCCTGTCTGGCACGTGCATGAGAGTCATTGCTTATGTGTGGCAATTGTTGCACTACAAGATTTGTAATCCAAACATTTTTTTTAAATAATACTATTGGCCCCCCTAGCAAAGAAATTTTTTTTGAGTTTCTTCCTCCGCCACTAGTTCTGTGGAAGGCATAAGCTTCCATGAATCATACATTTTTTTTGCCTATTTGGGTGCTTCTGGTGCCCATGGGACATGGGTCCATGTGTTTGACCAGACAATGGCAACACTAAATCGGTGACTTGCAAATACATGCAAATACGTGCCCGTACACTTGTACTTTAGTTTGAAACATGCAAGTAACAGTCTTTGTTGGCTCTCAAAAAAAAGTATATAAACTTGATCTTTGCATGCACATCAAGGTGACTTCTACAACTTGACCAATTTTCACCTTTTAGGTGCTAAAAGAGTTCTTTTCCTATCAAAATATTATGCATGTTTGAACATGTGCTGAATCATAAGTTGGTTTCTCATATATGTGAATTTTATTACATGTTGCTGACCTTGTTGTCAAAGCCACCCATGACATGTTCTGATATTGTGTTAAGCGGCAGCATTAGCAAAAATTCTGGCAATGATAATTGTGTATTTCTGCAATTTGAAATGATAATAGTTAATAGTTTTTTCTGGTCATGTTTAATCTCAATTAGCATTCTGCTCATTTCAGGTGATATTGCGTTCTGAAGTGAAGGCCACACTGCATGTAAAGGATGTACGGTTAGATCTTCAATCTGGATTTGAGCACTTGGGCAAAGGAGATGGACGGCCAGCTTTGAGTTTATTCCCTCTGGTTATTGCTCCTTCTTCCAAAGCTGGAATTTTATTCATGATACGGTTAAGTGGTACAAAGGGTAAGTCTATCATATAGTCTGTCTTTTATTTTGGCTGTCCCTTACGATTGTTTGCCATTGCTACAATCCTCTTAGGGTTAACAAGTACTGTCTACTGACACATGGATTTCATGGTATATTTTAGATGCGGATGAGGCAGAAAATGCAGACAGCATGCTGAATATCACTTATGGGATATCTGGTGACAGAACAACTGGAGCACATTCTCCTATACCTATCAAACCTGGTGATTCTGAAGAGCTTCTGTTCAAGATCGCACTCAAACTGAAGCGACCTGTCCTGAATCCGTGTCTGGCAGTTGGATTCCTTCCATTTTCTACTGCCTGCCTGAGGGTTGGGCAATTAGTTAATATGAGGTGGAGGGTCGAAAGGCTGAAAACCCCGGAGGATGCATCCATATCCGTTGTAAGTCCAGAACTTGCTCAATTATGCTGTCAGCACTCAGCAGTGTGCCTTAGTGTTTAACTGTTTATGCAGTCAATAAGTAAGCTTATAAAGGATAAAACCATGGGAAGTTTTCTTTACAACTAAACTAGGACTTTGTGTTGCAGAACGAAATACTTTATCAGGTTGAGGCAAACCCGCAGAACTGGATGGTTGCTGGGAGGAAATGTGGTCACGTATCGTTGTCAAATGAGCAAGGTAAGAACCATGGTACCAGATGTTTCAATCCATGTCTGTGGCAGAGAATGACGACTTCCAATCCAATTTGAAACGAAAAGACTGACAATTTTCACATCACACTGCACTTGCTCATAGGTTCGAGGATGGAGATCACGGTGACATGTATGCCACTGGTGTCTGGGTACGTCCACCCACCGCAGCTGGGCCTCCCGGAGGTGGGCGAGGCAAACATTAGCTGCAATCCAGCAGGACCTCACCTGGTGTGCGTCCTTCCTCCAGCCCTCAGCACCTCCTACTGTATACCAGCGGCATGATTCTTCCTGGGCAGTCAGTTTGCTGGCACTTACACATAGATGAGCTGTAGAGTCTGTTTTTGGCGAGACTCTGTTTTTGTGTAGACATGGTACACATAGATGAGCTGTAGAGTCTGTTTTTGGCGAGACTGTGTTTTTGTGTAGACATGGTTTCACCGGAATGTGTTTCTTGTAATTCTGTTGTGCCATGTTCAGTGTACAATTGTACATTGACTGGTACACGAAACTGCTTCCCCAGTATTCTGTGAAACTGCGAGCCAGATTTGTTCTTCAGATTGTATTGTTACAGACAGATTGCCTTTTGTAAATCATCCGGACTCAAATGATACTTGTGCTTAGACAAATCCACAATTCCAAGATGATTTTTATTAGGGGCCGTTTAGATCATTTCATTTGGAGGAATTGAAATCTACTTAATAAATTATGTTATTTGGTTTGGAATTTGACATTCCACCACATTTCAAAGCTCACATATAAGCCTATCCTAAATTTATAGGGTGAGAGATGTAAATTGATTCTATAGGTTATCACCCTATGTTTCTACTTTGCAACTTATAATATGCTATTCAACTCATTCTCTTATAATAGAAATGCACCACATAAGTATCTCTCTCATATAGCCAACAATAATATATAAATATAATTCATATACAAACACATTAGCTTAATGAATTGTGTCTAAATTATGATTATTAAATTGAATTCAATTCATGGATCCAAACGGGGCAGGTCATTTACATATCTATAATGATTCTTGTTAGATTGTTTACGTTTGTCTACAAGGCTTACATAATTGACAGCATCCAAGATTGAAGAAGGTTACAGTTAAATCAAGATGGTTCGTGCTCAATATCGTCCAGCCCAGGCCTGTCATAAGATCATCTGCAACAGCATCGAAAATTTGGTTGTTGCTATTATTTCCATAATGAATCCTTGGTTAACTGTAAGTAAAGAAAATAGGCCCTTTCTCTTCGTCCGCTACCGCCAACCGTCCCACAGGAGGCCGGGTTTTCAAACTAACATTATTCTGCTACTGTGCACCTCATAAACATCTATTTTGATTTTTATTTTATCGCCTGATTCATGCATATCTGAACTAAATTGACATCATGCATTATCATTCTGTAATTCTGTGCACGGAATAAAAAGGGAAATGACGCTAATTGTCGGTGCAGAAAGTTACCAACACGTAAATATTTATAGTTTTGCCGTACGTTGTGATCGGATGTGACCTAGCACTCAATGACACATGGTTTATACTGGTTCAGGCGACATGCCCTACGTCCAGTTTGAGTCGGTCGGTGACTTTATTCCTGAACCCAGGTGCTCGAAGTTTACTGTGGGGTTACAAACGAAAGGGAGAAAGATGGGGGGTGTAAGAGGTCTGGTCGGACTCTAGTCTGAAGGGCCGAGAGTGATGGAAGCTCCGCTATGTGCTAAGTGTTCGAGTGTGTGCTCGATGTTTGAACCTAGTGGTTCTCGTTGTGGTGTGTGAGTGAATTGATCGATCTCCCTTTTTGGGAGAGAGCGTATCCCCTTTTATAGATGAAGAGGATGACCTTACAAGTGAGAGAGGGAGAGTGTACGTATGCTAAGTCTTGTTGCCCACGTCGTTGGATACAAGATGATTGTAGACACCCATAACACTGTTAATATCAGATGCATGTGGGAGGTTGTATCGTCTTCTTCTGGTATGGCAGACATCGGTGCCTGTCATACTATTGATGCCCAGAGACATGTAGGGGGTTTTACCATGTTCACCCGGTATGGTAGATGCCGGCGCCCGCAACACTGTTGATGTCCAGAGACATGTGGGGGGAGCCTTACCGTGTTTGTCTGGTATGGGAGTTGATGGCGCCCACAACACTATAGGGAAAATATCGGCGCCCACAACACTGCTTGGGTTCTTACATGCCAGGAAGGTTGCAAGGTACCGTCCTGCAGGCGTACATGGTACGGTCCTCGGTATTACGGTTGACTTGAGTGTCCTGCCTTACCTTCTCCGTCCGTTTCTGGTCCTCACCGAGCAGGTGTCCCCGGTCGGTTGGTCCCAGTTGGCTCCGACTGCGCCAATTGGAGAAGAGCTGTAAGCAGGGGTTCGGCGCATCCCCGGTCGGAGACGCGGGTCGTAGTCGGAAGTGGTGTTTGGCCAGGCCTTCCGGTCGGAGAGGCCGTCTGGAGGCGGGCCAGAGTCAGAAGCGGGCGTCGTTCCTCCTCAGCCAGGCCTTCCGGTCGGGGATTGGATCGCCCTTCTGGCCTGTCGTATAGATATTTGGGCCGGCTCAGGAGTTGCGCGTCGTTCGTAATGTTGTCTGCTGGGCCGAGCCTTTGTTGGGAAGCCAGTCCATGAGGGACCCCGGATTTATGAACCCGACGCTAACCTTACATTGTCAATTTTTTTTTGGAAAATTTGTGCTTCACTTTTGACTTGCGATTTTGGTGTGGAAATTTTTGGGGAAATAAGTGCTAGGATATACGTATGATCAGGTATTCCTTTCATCAATCTCTAGAGTCCCCTCACGAGCACCTTGATTCAGTGACTTTTCCCAAAATTTCCTCTTTCTAGGGTGTCTTGTTTTTTTTCTGAAATTAGTTTCAAAATCTTCGTTCTTCGGAAGAGTTTTTTCAGTTGAGATGGATACTGCATAGGATTGTGAAGTCCCCTCTCCAAAACCTGAATTTATTCGGAGTTGATTTGGTCTCGTCTTAATTTTTTGGTGTAAGTCAGACTGCATCTGCATAACTGTTGCTGATGCTGAATTTTGTATCTTCGTCGGACCGAGACTGTCTCCAACAGCTTACTCGTATAGGTACCCAAAACCAAAAAAGGTATTGAATGATACTGTTTTGGTCTCCAACAGAGTATCTATATGCGAGACGTATTTTAGGTTGCAGTAGACTCACAATCCAAATATGAGTATTCTCTCTTCTAAAGACTCATTTGCAGAAAGAGTTCTCTTTTAGATTCTGTTGTTGGATAGTACAAAAAATGATTATTGAACCATTCGCCTGTAGTGCTACTCAAATGTGAAATAAATCTTGTATTTTGAGTGATGTCGTTGGAGTTCTAAAGGCTGACTCTGCTTTGCAACTGTTCTGTGCAGTTCTCTGTTTCCCAGCGTACAACTTGCTGCCTGCACTTTTCCTCCACGTACTGCTGCTGTGTCCTATACTCCGAGGAAGTTGCAGGTCCCATCTATTTTGTTCGTTCGAGTGCTTTTGCATGGTTCTTTGATTGGTCGAATGCTCTGTTCTAGCAACCGTGAAATACTACAAGAAATTATGAGCCCATCATTGCAATATTAAATTTCCTTTGGCCCTGTTCGTTTCGCTGAAAAGTAAGGTTGAAAAGTATTATTTGCTAATTTGTTATGAGAGAAAAATACCGTACCATGATTAATAAGTTTAAGCGAATTCAGGGTCGAGAGTTTAGGAGATCCTCTTTTTGCTTACTACACAGCACTCTCTAGGTTAGTTGTGTTTGATCTTTCTCGAGTACTCTATATTTCTAATTTGCTTCCGCAACGCTTTGAAAATTTTCTAATTGTTCCTAGGGTCAACTTCACTAGTCGGAATTAGGATATAGGCCACGTTTCTTTGGAAAGATTTAATTGGCTCCCATTCACTTCCTCCTCTGGTTGTCTCCTCGGTCCTTCATCTAGTGCATCTCCAATAAGAAGGCCAGGTCTCATATCGTCTATGTACTTGTTTGTTATATCATGGGGTTGGTCGGGCACTCTAGGCACCGGTCTTTGATGAGTACATGCTTGCCCAATGCCCATGTGTGTAAATCTTTATCATCGTCATCATCATCGTCATAGATCATCCCGGCAAAGACAACGAGGAATGGACCACCATGGCGGTCGAGGTGGTCGCAGTCGTCCTTGGCACACAACACAGCCCCCGTGTAGTTGTACCGAAAGTGCGGGTACGATATATGGATATATAAATAGCATTAACCAAGAGAAAGCAATAACATCTTACAATGACCCATACAACGGACACCAAGCACACTGTCTAGTCCACCCATTAGCCATGCATCAGGCTCGTGAGTTATTAGACCTTAATAGAGCGGCAAATTAAAGTGTATAGTACGTAGTAATAGGCCAACCTGCCTAGAATGGGAATATATATAGCGCCCCTACAAGGCTACCACCCACCATGCTCAGATAATAGATATCTAACAGCATCGTGCACCTGAAAGAACGCCGCACCATGTTTAGAAAACCAGGCCACTTGATATAGTCCTTTTGCTGAGAACTCATTCAAATTCATACGGAAGAGACCCTCAATTGCCTTCTCAGCTGCTTCTTGTATGCTGCACTCTATAGCTTTTGTTTTTAGTCCTGCTATTCTATCAAATGCAACGCCCTCCTTCTTGCCTTCCAACATGCGGTCGATAGTTTTCCTCAAGTTAGAAACCAGAGGACATGTGTCATGAAATGAGGAACGAATAAACCTGACAGGTCCAGTTGTGGGGGTTGGCGGTTGCACCCGTTGTATCAGATGGGCTAGGCAACGTTAACTCTAGCCCTTAAATACAACAGTGAACTCGCAGAGAAATAACTTCCTTCCGGGAACATTTGTGATTCCTTGGCACATGGTTCGTCGTCGTAGCCATATGCAGCAGTGCAACATACTGGATTTGGGCGTAAGAATCCAGTGGTTCTCTTCACGGGTAGCCCATTGAGGATCGCGCCATCGAGGAGCATGGGGAACAATATGTCCTGTGATCGAGCCAGTTGGAGGGGAGTGCTCCTGTTGCAGGTTCAAGCAGCAGGCCAAGCTTAAACTTAGCTGCCAGTCGGTCTGTTCGCTGGTTGGTTTCTGGGCTGATAAACTCGGCTGGTGCTGGTTTGTTGTGAAAGAAAAATACTATTGGCCAGCTGATAAGCCTTAGCTGAAACTAACAAGTGAACAGACTGGGTGACTGCAAGCACTTGATAGCAACCTGAGCTATGTCTGTGCTCTCAGAGAGCCGTAGCCGCAATCCTAAATCG